ACACACACACACACACTCTCTCTCTCTCTCTCTCTGTTCTGACCATTTGTTGTTGTATAGCCCCTTATGTTTGCTGGAGTCTGTAATTCCATTTATGTCTCCTGAATATTATTGTCTTGTCTTCACCGGAGCTAGATTACATAAGAGATCAGGAGTCATAGCCCCTGATTACAGCATCTTCTATTATCCTAGTCAGGAACAGTAATTGAACAGTGTTTCCCTGGTTCTCAAAAAGCCTGTAGTCTCAGGAGCTTCATAGTCACCAATAGCCTGCCGGTTGGGGCATTTGTGGGACACAGAAAGCATGCAATTAAAATACATTAAAATGATTCTGTGTTCAAACAAGTTACTGAAGTTGATCACTTTAGTATGGGATGAGCCTTAATATTTATATGGGTAATGAAGCTGTACTATTCCAATAATACATAATTACTATTTTAAATTTACCTACACATCTATTAAACAGGAATGAAGTAACAGCAGCACAGCTCTTGGTAAGTGTGAGGATACAAAAAGCAGAGTTCTCACCTTAAGGGAACAGAGAAAGCTTATCCTAGAGTCAAATTTGAATGACCATTGTTGTTAAAATGTTTAGGTTTATCCAGTAACAAGACACAAACCGTGACTCAACGATCCCACATTGAGTTTATTAGTAGACAGGGAGGGAAAGGGGGGGTGAGAGGTAACCGACCTGTGCAGAGCTGAGAGAGAGATAAGATATGAGAGAGAGAGAGAGAGTGAAAGAGAGAGAGAGAGAGAGAGAGAGAGACAGAGACAGAGAGAGAGACAGAGAGAGAGACAGAGAGATAAGAGTAAGAGAGGAGATGAGTAAGACAAGAGTAAGAGAGCGTAAACGGGCAGGGGTCAGTCCTTTAAAGGGGTCCTTTGCACCTGCTTGGTTCTCATGGAACTCTAGGCTGGCCAGAGTGTTGCCTGAGTGCATCTTGCTAGGTAACAGGGCAGGCCAGCGTAATGCCTGAACCTTTCAACCATGGCCCTGAGAACATAGATTTAGGTTATTGACATTAACTGTTCCAACATGGAGGGTGTTTCATGGAGTTGTATAGTTTTACAGAACAAAGTCATAAATCAGTGCATGTTTAAAACACAGAAAGCTGGGTCTCATTTAAAACATTTCAAAAGGCTTTTAACTTTTATGGGGAAGGGATGGTTCTTCATGGGGCTAAACCTAGCCAAAGTTAAAATAACTTTGGGTGGGGGGCTGGGGGACCTGGTGGGGAGGGCGGGGGAGGAGGGGGAGGGAGAGGGAGCTGGGATTGACATGTGAAACAAGATTGTTTCCAACCGAAAAAAAAAGTGAAAATAATTAATCTCTGGATTTGCAACATTCCAACCTCTCCACATCATTGCAGTTCTATCAGTCAGTCCGTCTTTGCATATGCAGCTTCTTCTCAAGAATTCTAATTGGCAGGTACTGATAAGTTTTGAATCCCTGGTTGTTGCAAACCCACCGCCACTGATGTAATAAGCCAGTCAAGCAGCATTAATAAATCCAAGTGTAATCTGAGCAAAGCGTTCCCAGGTGGCCCCAAGGTAAAGGGAAAGACCATGAGGGGAGCCCATGGGATGGAGGCTTTTAATTCCTTCTAGGGGTGGAGTCACTGATGGCAGGCTTCCTCAGGAGCAGAGTCTGGACTGAGGTAACTCCAGGGGAGGGACCCATCACTTGACACCCTGAGGGCGGGTTTGCAATAGAACCCTGAGCTGGAGATTCCAAACGTCCTAACCTTTTTGGATAGATATAGATATCTGTAAAGGGCTTCCACCTAAACAACATAATATATGCTATTAAAATTAATCCCCCTGATTTCTCTCCTGTGCAAGGCCAGCTGGGGCTCCCATCGCCTCTGGTCCTGCCTTTGCACTTACCAAGGCTTAATGACATTGTTGGACACTGATATCCTATCTCCTAAAATATGATAGTCACATCCTTCCTGCTAAGCTTATTTTGTGAAGGTTAACAGTCAAGATGGTACTTGCTGAAGCTTTTTCTCGTCCATTGAGTTGGAACGAAGTTGTTCGTTTAATTTTCCATTTAACAATAATTGGTGCAGTAACATATGTCACTATCAAATGGATGGTAGATGCAATTGACCCAACCAGAAAGCAGAAAGTAGAAGCTCAGAAACAGGCAGAAAAACTGATGAAGCAAATTGGTGTGAAGAACGTGAAACTTTCACAATATGAAATGAGTATTGCTGCTTATCTAGTAGACCCTCTGAATATGCATGCTACTTGGAGTGATATAGCAGGTTTAGATGATGTCATTACAAATCTGAAAGACACAGTCATCCTACCTATCAAAAAGAAGCACTTGTTTGAGGCTTCTGCAGCCTCCTAAAGGTGTTCTTCTGTATGGACCTCCACGCTATGGGAAAACGTTAATTGCCAAAGCTACAGCCAAAGAAGCAGGCTGTCGATTCATTAACCCTCAGCCTTCGACACTGACTGATAAGTGGTATGGAGAATCTCAGAAACTGACTCCTGCTGTTTTCTCCCTTGCGATAAAGCTGCAGCCTCCCATCATATTTATAGATGAAATAGACTCCTTTCTATGAAACTGTTCAAGTTCTGACCATGAAGCTACAGCAATGATGAAAGCTCAATTTATGAGCCTCTGGGATGGACTGGATACTGATCACAGCTGCCAGGTCATAGTGATGGGAGCTACCAATCGCCATCAAGACCTTGACTCAGCTATAATGAGAAGAATGCCTACAAGGTTTCATATCAACCAGCCTGCTCTAAAACAAAGAGAAGCAATCTTGAAACGCATACTGAAAAATGAAAATGTGGATAGACATGTAGATCTTCTAGAAGTTGCCCAGGAAACTGATGGGTTTTCAGGAAGTGATCTAAAAGAAATGTGTTGAGTATGTCAATTTTACATCAGAAGAAGGTCATGATGAAGATGAAATCCACCTGTGCAGCAGCAGGACCTGAATCGGGCAATTGAAAAGATGGAGAAATCAAAGGGTGCAGCATTTCAGAATGTTTTGGCTCATGTTTGTTTAGATTAGAAGTAAAGATCATTTTTACGGTTCAGTGATCTCCTATGGGATATACTCTCATCCTTACAGCAGTGAGAGAGATCCTGTTTGTGGTTTTATACTCAGATCCTAAGTTATTACGGTCTGTCATGTAAACGGTATTAACTGTTTGTCAGAAATCATGAGGAGGAAATTCAGTCCAGCCTGAGTGTGGGTGCTTGTTTGACCTTTTTAGCCATATGCTGTTAAATAGCCTTATAGAGTCTAAGCTGGCCTTAAAGTAATAAATAATTTGTTGTTAGTAGTGAGAAGTGGGATGTGGTTAGGTGCTGGTTTATAGACATGTGAGAATGAATGTGTGTGTGTGTATGAGTGTATATCAGTGTATATGTCTCCATTTTTCTTTGATATTCTGTAGATAGGTTTGAATACAGAAGCTTTTGTTTTTTAAACCCCAACTGTGGAGTCCAAAAGCACCAGATAAATAGCTTGTAGCAAAACGGGGATATAAGGCAAGATCTGACAGGTACAGTGATTCAGCCATTCCTAGTTGTCACTTGTTTTGGCCACTTTTAAGTTGAAAATTTCCTCTGCAGTTGATTGAATCAACCTCATCTGAATATGTACATGTGTCCCAATTATAGTGGTTGTCAAGAAAATCGAATAACAAAGCAGTATTTCTCAGTGATCAACACTAGTGGTTGATTGGTAGGCAAACTGATTGATCAGCATGGATTTCACCTCATTATGCTCTGACACCAAGTAGGCGCTTTTTACTTTTACATTGATTTACATTAAGATGGATTGAATCCTTTCAAAACAGTGGGCTTGAGAAACCTCAGTGCTCTTTATATGTGTACATGACTTTCAGTGTAACAGTTCTATAACTATGTTCCTTAAATGTTGTTTAGAAGTTGCATGTTCTTTAATTATGTTCAACTTTCATTTGGTCACCCAAGTAAAATGATAGTTTATATAAATAGTCATTACTAAATGTATTAAAAATACTCATTTTGTAACTTAAATTTAAAAATTTTCTCAGCATAGTATAAATTGTACAAATATACACATCAGAATTCCTGTGTTGTATCTGTAGTCCCTTGATGCTATGTGAACCACATATAAAACTCTTCTGTTTTCAGACCTCAGTAACCAGAATTCTGTTGCAGGCACCTCAGCATACAACAGAGCAGAAGATAATGGCCACAACACAATCTTTAGGTACCTCTGAATCATCAGAAAGATTAAATTATGGCAAAAATGCTTTTGTTTTTTATTACTTGTTTTATTTCTTTGAAAACTAAACCTTCATGGGTTTATTGTATTACGTTCTTTCTCTGGTAATATGTCTTACAAGACCTATTGAACTTTATTCCTCCGTTTGTGCTTTGGTGGTTGTAGATTGCAGGAGGATAGGCTAACAAAATGCAAGCCACACAAGGTTGTGAAGATGTTGTAAGATGAATGCTAATACACGACACCAAGAAACATGTGCTTTTTATAATTTACAATAAAAGGTCCTTCCTTTTGAAAAAATTAATCCCTTTCATCTATTTTAATGACTTAATATCTAGTTACTTTTCTTCATACTAAAAAGTGTGTCCATAAAACATAATTCATTTCTCATCACTTAGAGCAGTGATGCAAAGGCAAGCTGTTGGGTCAAAGAAGATTTATTTTGGAAACTGAAGATGGTAGAGACTCATCAGCAGATTCTGTCTTACCTTTGGGTTGCAGAAATAAGGTCTACATCAGGAGCTGTGGGGAAGCATGCCAAATAGGTGGGCATCAGTGCAATTTACACATGCCAAGTTTTCTGCCCTTCTGATGCTTGAGCTGCTATCCAAAGCTTCCAAGACAGTAGGGTTCCATACATGTAAAAGAAAATGACTGTTTAAAAAATTGTGAATGCTCATGTATTTTAGTTCTTTTCCTAAGACTAGCTCATTGTGCATTCAATGATTAATTTACAAATGCATCCTTTCCCAGAGGAAAGCCATAAAAGGCTATGTCTCTCTGGATGATCCAGGAAATAGAACAACAATATCTTGCCCATTCGGTGACTTCATCCAGAAGTGTCATCTATAACAAAGCTCAGCAGAGAGATGAATAATGACTTCCCCAGGTGTGTAACTTTCAAATTAGTACTGTTCCAAAGTTAAGTAGGAGCAAGTGAAACTAGAGGGTTGATTAGATAACAATTTTTTGAAAAGATTGCCATCCAAAGTCAAGTATCAGATATGTAGTGCATAGCTTAATACTTACTGTAATCTTTACAGGACAACCATCATGCTCTACGGAGATACAAGTATACTTGGCAAAGGTCCAGAAGAGATCGTGAAGTCACTAATTGCCTCAAAGTTTTTCAAAGTGTGGTCTTACCAGCTCAGTGGTTGATCCACTTAAATTGATTAAATTTTCTAGCATTATTCTTAAAAAGTGAATACAGAGTTTAATTTTGTAAGTTTGTCTAATAATCTGAATACAGAGGTGGGTCTGCATCTGCAAAACACCCATAGAAATAATCCCTTGTCAGATTACTAGACAGGCAGGAATTCTGCTGATACGCCCCTGTCTTAAAAGAACAAGTGGTTTTTGACAGATAAACCATGTTCAGAAGTGAAATATAAAGTACATCAAGGAATCAGCTGTAATGATTGCTGCATATGGCACAAAGGGATAACTTCAAATGCTTCCAGTTGAAATCCTAATAAAATGAATGCTTCATTTCTAATCCAGCTTCATGTAAAACTGGTGAACAACTGAGAGCTCATTGAAATTCAACGATGTTGAGAAAGTGCCCCTCTTATTAAACTCAAACACACAAGTTACAGTCTACCAGTCTCTCGCTAATCTTTTCGGTTTTACCCCTCCTTTGTTAAGGTCCATCATGAGCAAGAAATGGGACTCAAACTCTTCAGAAAACTGGAGTCACACCTGGAGCAGCAATGACACACAGCATCACTGGTACTCGGATATCAACATCACCTATGTGAACTATTATCTTCACCAGCCTCAAGTGGCAGCGATCTTCATTAGTTCCTACTTCCTGATCTTTTTCCTGTGCATGGTGGGAAATACTATAGTTTGCTTCATTGTAATAAGGAATAAACACATGCACACTGTCACTAATTTCTTCATCTTAAACCTGGCAATAAGTGATTTGTTGGTTGGAATATTCTGCATGCCTATCACATTGCTGGACAACATCATAGCAGGTATGTTGAGTTGTGTGCGGTATAAATATGACCTGGAAAAATGGTTCCACAAATGCTTAGAGTCAGAGCAGAGTCATTCATTCATTCATGTCTTCACTCATTCACACATACTTATTGGGTTCCCAGAAGTGTTCCAGGTATCTATCTTCACGAGATGAACATTCTAAGCAAAACATGTAATAACCAAATAGATGTGCAGTTTGGGAACAAGAATTTCCCTTCCACGCTTCTGGGTCCATGTCATCATGGGCCACGTCACATGTTCTAGAGGCACAGGGACAGTGTATTTCCTGGTCCCAGTAGTGTTTTCATTCAGAGTGTTGATTTAACAGTTTGTTGTGTTAATTGAGGAGCAACACTTGTGATGTTCACATTCCTACCAATATAAGGAAAACAATGAAAAATTGCAACATATTGAAGTTATCTGCAGTACCTCAAGCTGTTTCAAAGCTCGGATCCTCTCATGACACTGTTTCCTGCCATAATTATTTTGAACTAAATGATTACTTTAATATTCTGCACATAAATCACTTCACTGTATCCATTATTTTGTTTCTCAATAGGCAGCCCCTTGCAGCATTTTCTGTCTTTATTTTTGGTAATTATGACCATATAACTAAGTAATGTGAAACTAATGTCATTTTATGTTTTCTAAACTGCTTAAGACAGAAATCCCATTTTAATAATCCACTTACCACCACATAAACACCAACATGCATCCACACCCATCATCTCCTCTATTAGTCAGCTAGGAATCACCCAGTGATTGTTAGCTGTCTCTCCCGTTGATGCCCTCTCAATCTTCTCCACCCCTCTTTGAATTTGTCCCTCTGGTTTCTGATACCACATCTTCTTTCTACTTTATTCCTTCCTAAGAAATCGCACATCATGGTGAAACATTTCCAAGAGTCTGCATGTCTCTAAATGCCTTCCTTTCACTCTCACACTTGATTACAGTTAGCTCTGTGAACATTTCTGGGCTGGAAAACTTTCCTCTCAGAACTTTAAGGGGATTTCTTTCTTGTTACTTCTGAGAAATGTTGAGTTATTGTTGAACATTGTTGATTTGAGTTGTATATTTTTTTCTTCCTAAAAGCTTTTTGAGTTTTCTTTATCCCCAGTGTGTTCTGAATTTTTATGAAGTTAGGGCTGGAAGTCGGTTTTCTGTGGTTGATTTATTGCACTGGATACAAACTACTCCTTTCAACTTGAAAACCAATGGGCTTCATCCTGAACAATTTTCTTGGCAAAGTCTTTTCTCTTCTTTTGGATGTGTCACATATAGGAGGTCATAGTTTCCCTTTTCATTGTTTCTCACTTAATTTATGGTTCTTATTTTTCTAATCTTCAAAGATGTGTGTGTGCATGTGAGTGTGTGTATATGTGTGTACACATGTGCACGAGAGCACGCACACATGCGCACTAGAGATATGGAAGTATATACCTATAATATAATATCAGCCCTTTGGAGATCCAGGCAGGAGATTGCAAGTTAAAGTTCAGCCTGGTCAACATAAAGACACTATCCTCAAATCCATGTGTTTGGGACTAGACAGATTGCTTAATGCTTAAGGGCAGTTGATAATGACCTAAATGCAGTTCCAAGCACCCATGCTAGTTGGCTCATAACTACCTATAACTCTAGTTTCTGGGGGATTTCCCCCTTCTGGCCTATGTGGGCACCTGAACTCACCTGTCTAAACCTATACATAGATGCACACATACACATGATTTTAAAATTACAATAAATCTTTTTTAAATCCAAGGACTAAGTACATAGGTCATTGTCAGTATGATTACCTAGCTTATACAGGGTCCTTGTCTCAATCCCCAACACTGTAGGGCAGAGAAGGGTTTTCTAAACATTCATCTTGAGTTCTTCATTTTCATTGTCTTAAATACGTGACCTATTTTTGCTTGCTTTCTGTTATGTTTCTTTACTATCGTTTCTGAGATTACTGGTAAAATGTTTATTCTATCTTTGTGTGAATTTTATTACACGGTTCTTTCCTATAGTCCCTTTATTTTGTGTTTGATAATTTTCTAGCATTAAGAACCATTTTTGGTTTATGATTTAGTATGATGTCCTATGTGTTTGATAGGCTCACCCAGGGATCTGTTTAAGCTCCTACTGGGAGCTGAAGTGGGCAAATCACAAGTTGGAGTCCAGTCTGACCAACATAGACCAACCTTGTCTCAGAAAGCAAAGTGAAACAAAGAAAGACAACTCTAAGTAGGGAAGCCTGTTAAAACAGACTCACTTGTGCTCCGTGGGCTAATAGAAATTAGATACGAGTAGTTTGTTTTTTAAAAAGGAAACTATGGAGTTTTTGAACAATAAAATTTGAAATCTGAAAAACATGTATAGCGTGTTTTTAGGAGAAGCTATTTTTTTAAAATAGTGAATGAGTGTTTAGAAGGTCAAACTGCTCTGACAGTTTTGTTTATTTCTCTTAGAAATGCTCTGGTCACTGAGGTTTAGGTAAGCAACTCCGCTACTTCCGCTCATGTAAAGGAGTCTTTATTCTAGACACCACTATTATGCAGATTGTGCATTGTCTGTATTTATTTCATATGTAATTCCTGGTTCCTCACAATTTATGGGTGTATTTCCAAATTATATCATTAATATTCTGTCTGCTTTATCCACATTAAAGCACTGCAACCTAAGGTTTGATGGTTTACACTCTGGAAACTTACCTGGTATTAAATCTTACTAAGCCAAGAACTGGCAGGGGCAAGGTATATGTTTTTTCCCTTGTCTGGAGATATCATGAATTAGAAAACAGTTTCAAAATCTTCTCCTGGGGATTAAATATAGAGGCAGGTGTGAAGTGCTTCTTATAGTGTCTCGGATGTAATAGTTACTGTGCTGGGCTTGCATTGTGAATACTGCATTAATGAATCAGTCTGGAGAAATTACCAACAGCATCAGGACACATTGTTCTGTGACTGCCTTCATTTGTTATGTTTTCGTTCATATTTGCGATACTGTGAGGTAAAATCATCTTCTCAAAAGACTATTCCATCTCCCATCCAGGATGGCCATTTGGAAGCAGCATGTGCAAGATCAGTGGGCTGGTGCAGGGAATATCAGTTTCAGCCTCAGTCTTCACCTTGGTTGCAATAGCTGTGGACAGGTAAGTCAGCTCCAAACCCCAAGCCCCAGAAAGTGTTCATTTACCAAATTACTGCAGATTGTCAATGATACTACACTGATATAACTATCTACCTGCTTATATTACTGCAATATACAGCATTATCACAAAAGTATTGCATCACTGAATGTTTATAGCAAATTGTGTAATTCATGCAATTATTTGTGTTTATTCAGATCTTGAGTATTAATATTTTCCATGCAGTTACAGCTTGGGAGTATGAACTGAGGTGTTTAATTTTAGAATTATTGATAGATTGTTCTTCTTTTCAATAACTGCATAGCAAGACCAGTTGAGCCCTCAATGTTAAAACGATAAACTGCATCACTTTTGGGTAAGCAATACATTTTCTGTGTGTGCACACTCAAAATATACATTAAATATAATGGTGCCCTGCAAGTGAACATTGTGTAGTAATTAGGGCTTCTTCCAGTGAACAAAATCTATCCTATCTTTTGTATTTCTACTTCAATCTTAAGCTAAAAAGGTTTCCTTCCACTTTTCATTTGTCCTTAAAAGCTTTGACCAGTGTTTTTGACATGACACTTGAAAAAAACTTGAAAATAGACATTGGCCCTCTTTATTTTAGAAAGTAAATGAGATTAAAATCAACAATTAATGTTGCTTTTTAAGTGGGTAGCATGAAAGATACTCAAATGAATGTAGCAGAGCAGCACAGGTCAACATGTGTAAAGTGTAAAAGCACACACAGCCAGAGAGACTGCATGATGATACACATGATATATACCACAATGTGAAACCCAACCCATTCCAGATGTAGGTGAATGCTGAAAATGCAGAAATGCGTGTACAGGAGGGATGCCTAGCAACTTCTGAATGTCTTCACAAAGAGGAAAATGAATGAGTATGGCTGCCTTTGGTGATGTTTTGTTTGTGCTCTAGCAAATAACGCTTGACTGGTGATCGAAATGCGGAACTAGCCACACTGGTTATCCACAGAGGCCAGGCAGTGGTGGCACACACCTTTAATGCTAGCACTTGGGAGACGGGCAGATGGATCTCTGTTAGTTCAAGGCCACCCTGGGCTACATGAAATTGATCCAGTCTAAAAAAGAAACAGAGACAGGGAGTGATGGCTCACACCTTTAATCCCAGTACTTGGGAGTCGCATGTCTTTAATCCCAGCACTAGGGAGGTGGAGACATGAAGGGATGTGGCTGGGCAGACAGAGGAATATAAAGTGGAAGGATACAGGAGTTCATAGCATTCAGTTTGTGGATTTGTAGAGACAGGATTGCGTATTTGGTCTGAGGATTTGGTAGAGGCAAGACCTAGTGGCTGGCTGCTCTGCTTTTCTGGTCTCCCAGCATTTACCTCTGTATCTGACTCAGTGTGGAGTGTAGCTGCATGTGAAATGCAGTGTTTAAGACAGCATGGCATAGAGACGAGAAATTTCAGGTCTGGAGGGCAATAACACTTTTCTTCTGCTTTTTATGTTTGAAAATGTAATGACTTTATTAGTAAATGAATGTAAAGTCGTTTTATTATTTGCATGGCATGATGCCTCAATCATCATCAGGGAATTGGATTTTAGTTTGTGTGTTTTACATGTGTCAATCCTACACATGCTAGAATCATCTCAGAAGAAGGAACCTCAACTGAAAAATGTCTCCATAAGATCAGCATGTAGGCAAGACTGTGGGGGGCATTTTCTTGATTTATAATTGATGTGGGAGGGGCCCAGGTCATTGTGGGTGATGCTCCCCTAAGTAGATGTCCTGGGATGAAGAAGAAAACAAATTGAGCAAGCCAGTAAGCAGCACTCTTCCTTGGCCTCTGCCTCCAGGGTCCCTGTCCTGAGTTCCCTCAGCGAAGTGGGTCTTAAGAATTATAAGCTGGACAAACCCTTTTCTCCCAAATAGATTTGCTTGTGATATTTTTGTTTTCTGTGTTTTGTTTTGTTTTGTGAAACAGAGTTTCAGTAGGTATCCTTGGCTGGACTGGCATTCACAGAGACCCACCATCCACTGTCTTTTGAAAGCTGGGATTAAAGTCATGTGCTACCATACCCTGTCTTGGTCATCATCTTTATCACTGCAATATAAACCCTAAGGATCTATATGTTTGAGTTTTGCTCCATAGTTGTATCTTTAGTTTCATTCATTTCATTTTTAATTATTCAGAGATAGTACCAATAATACAAAATAACATTCAATTATGATTCTTGTCTTATTAATACATTATAATTGACAAATTTCCTACATGAATATGATTCATTTTGATGACTCCCACAACCTCTCTTATCTCTGCTCCCGCCCCTACCGTGATTCCTTCTTTCCTGCCAACCTCTTCCCCATACTTATGACTTGCTATTTTGTTTTGTGTCCCACAGAGTTTAATGAGGCTATTCATGTGATCACGTATTTGGAACTATTAGAGCCTGATGGACTCACTAGAGGGTACATCAGTAGATACTGACTTGCCCCTCTTCCAGAATCTGTTAGTAGCTAGTAGTTCAATAATAAGTTGTATGGCCCATGAGCCCCTTCTCCTTTCACAGCTGACTGTTGGGTGGGCTGAACTTGTACAGACCTAGTTCTACTAGGCACAGAAGCTGCGGGTTCATGATTGCTTTGAAGATGGGCTTTCTCGCTCCTTCTCCCTGCCTTTTGCCTCTCAGATACTTTCTGCTCCCTATTCTTAACTTTCCCTGAGCCTTAAGGGAATGGAATGAATGTGTTGTTTAGGTCTGGGTCCTCAACTATTCATTATCCTCAGCATCTTGGGAAGCTATGGCTGTCTGCAGTCATCAACAGCCGTTGAAGAGGGGCTTCTCTGGTTAAGGCTGAGCACAGCCTTTGTCTGTGGGAGTAAACAAAGTTAGTCAGAAGGCAGTTGGATGCTGTTTCACTTTTGCTAAGCAGCAGTCACAGGTTCTTTCCTTGGACTTACGCTCTCTTTAGTCAGGGTTTTTGACTTGGTTGACATTGGTAGGCATGGGTTCCCTCTTGTAGAGCAAACCTCAGTGTTGGTCCCAGAGAAGAACTGGTTTCCCCCATAACTCTGTGTCATTGTTTCACCCATGAGCCAATCTTGCCTGGCAGATTGGTTAATAAAGTCCAAAGCTGAGGAAGAACTTGTGTATCTTTCCTGCCCCTGGCAGTATGCAGAACACCATCTGGCATGATGTAAGGCAGCCAGAGGGGAGAAATCTTCCAGCTCAGTTCCATCTTGATTTCTCTGTGTCTTGCATTCAAGGTGTGTGGTGTCTTCAGCAATAAGGTATCGTCAACTCATTCTTTAGTGACTCTCTGAAGGAGTGTCACAGAAGTTCATTTGGAGTTCCTATTCAGCCATTACTTTCTTCATCTGTGTATCTGTCTGCTGAGTAATACACTCTGCTTCAGAATAATCACAAAAACAAAAAAAAGTATTAAATAGGTAATAATACCTAAAATGATAGAGTTGCATAATAGCACATGCTTGTTATAATTATTTGTAACACACATCTAACAACAATAAAAGTCACAATAACAAAAGTGGTAAAATTCCTCAATGGAGGTTGAATTGCCATGCTCAACAGAGGATAAAGAAGGGATCTTTATCGGAACTTACAATGGTGCCTCTTAGACCTGTATAATTGTAAAATATCTAAAACTACTTTTTGGTATAAGAAATGTATTCCTCTTGTGATTCTATGGGCTGGGCGAGTACCTCTCTCAGTCTTCTGCTCCCTGGACCACCCATGTTGCAGTGCTACTCTGTGGATTAAATTGAGACTGATGCATCTAAGATGGCCAGCCAGATGCTCCCCAGGGCCTTTCCCCATGTGCTTCTCCTCTAAGTCAAGTTTCTTGGAAGCTGGAAGCTGCATTTTCAGAAGAAGCATCCAAAAGGACAGTCCTGGTGTGCATGCTTGTTAATGTGTACTAGCCAGAGCACATTCCACGGCCAAGCATGGAAATGATATATTGGGAACATTCAGAACCCAAGGGGGAACTGGTTCGTGGATTACTACTGATGAGCTGTCTCCTGCAGCACAGTAGAACTGGCTGTTCTATTGATCCTACTATTCTGGAGTCTAACTGCTTCGGTTGAAATCATACATAACAATAAGCCAGATGTGACCTTTCCTAAATCCTAATCTTCATATTTTAATCTATCATGCTTCCAGGAAGAGCTCATGGAAGCCCACGGGACTAAGTCTATGGCAGAGTTCTAAGGGACAGGATTTGGCATGTTCTGATGTAATACCGTTAGCACCATAATAACATTTTCTCATTAATAGCATCTGAGCTGTTTCATTCATTTACTTTGAATTGCAACATATATTCTGTCAGTTACATAAGTTGGCAATGCTTGCTGTGTTGCCACAGGCGCTAACTTTCTCTGCTTTTAAGGGAAATATAGGCGGTCGTCCTCACATTGGTTTGCATTGTGTTCGGAAGCTGAGGCAGTGCCCCACTGATCTTTGCCTCTCATTGCAGATTCCGGTGTGTCGTCTACCCCTTTAAGCCAAAGCTCACGGTCAAGACAGCCTTTGTCACTATTGTGATCATCTGGGGCCTGGCCGTTGCCATTATGTCTCCATCTGCAGTAATGTTACATGTACAAGAAGAAAAATACTACCGTGTGAGACTCGGCTCTCACAACAAAACTAGCACGGTGTACTGGTGTCGGGAGGACTGGCCAAAGCAGGAAATGAGGAGGATCTACACCACTGTGCTATTTGCCACCATCTACCTGGCTCCCCTCTCCCTCATTGTGGTCATGTATGCAAGGATTGGGGCTTCCCTCTTCAAGACTTCAGCACACTGCATGGGCAAGCAGCGCCAGGAGCAGTGGCATGTTTCCAAGAAGAAACAGAAGGTCATCAAGATGCTGCTGATTGTGGCCCTCCTTTTCATCCTTTCCTGGCTGCCCCTGTGGACTCTGATGATGCTCTCAGACTATGCTGACCTGTCTCCTAATAAACTGCGTGTCATCAACATCTATATCTACCCTTTCGCCCACTGGCTTGCCTTTTGCAACAGCAGTGTCAACCCCATCATTTATGGTTTCTTTAATGAAAATTTTCGCAGTGGTTTCCAAGACGCGTTCCAAGTCTGCCAAAAGAAAACAAAACCCCAAGAAGCCTATGTCCTAAGAGCTAAAAGCAAGATGGTAATAAACACATCTGGCCTGCTGGTCCAGGAACCTGCATCTCAAAACCCAGGTGGGGAACATTTGGTGTGTGGGAAAAGTGCTGAAAATCCCACACAAGAATCCCTAATGGAAGAAATGGGAGAAGCTACTAACAGTTCTGCAGCTTAAAAAAGAGTGCGGGTCCCCAGTGCTACACAGTGTTATGTAGTATATGAGTGTGGATATGTCTTTAAATACTGCTGCTTATTGTGGCTTTGCATTTCTAGTATTCTGATGAAAATGTTTACCGAAAGCCCATTTGTCAAAAATTTTAAAGTATAAAAATGCCTTCCTAACCAGTCTGGTACATGAAATATTCAGTGACTTTCATATTTGCCTGAAATCTTTCAAAGTCTAGCCATTCCTATTTTAATCATTTGTTTTCATTTTTTATTTATTTTTAATTTATTTTGTTTTTTTTGGGGGGGGAGATTTCGATACAGGGTTTCTCTATGACTTTGGAGGCTCTCCTGGAACTAGCTCTTGTAGACCAGGCTGATCTCGAGCTCACAGAGATCCACCTGCCTCTGCCTTGTAAGTACTAGAATTAAAGGCATGCACTACCACCTCCTGGTTTTAACCATTTATTTTATGTGAGTCAAGAAAATCAAGTGCGCTTGTTTTGTGAGTCTGTCATTTTTATCTGTCTGTCTATTCATCTTTTCTTTGTCCTCTATCATCTATATGTCTAGAACAGTGGTCCTCAACCTGTGGGTTGCAACCCCTTTGGGTAGTCCAATGACCATTTCACTGGGGTCGCTTAAGGCCCTCAGAAAACAAAGATATTTATGTTACAATTCACAACAGTAGCAAAATTACAACTCTGAAGTAGCAATGAGATTTTATTGTTGGGGGTTATCACAACATGAGGAACTCTATAAAGGGTTGAAGCATTAGGAAGGTTGAGAACCACAGAACTAGAAGGACACACATCTTCTTAAACTAGAAGGACACTGTGCATGAAAGCACATCTTGTAATTTCTCAAACTGATTTTGGATTTGAGATTTTAGACTTACCTATGTCCTCTGCCTTTTAAATGGGCTTAGTCTATTAAGAAAACTGTTGGATTGTCTGAAGTCTTTGCTACTGATTTCTCATTGCTGTCAATTAATTTGGGTTACTCTTGAAGCAAGATGCTGAAGGTCCATCAGTAATAATATCCCTGGTCACTCCACTTTATGTACTAGAACACAGATTTCTTCAATGTAAAGTTTTTTTTCTTTGAAAAGTACAAAGTTAAAGAAATCATAGTAGTTCATAGAAGTTACTGCTGGGGCTGGAGAGATTGGCTCAGTGGTTAAGACAACTTGTAGATATTGTTGATCAACTCCCATCACCCACATGGTGGTTCACAACCACCCATAACCTATATTCCAGAATATCTGAATCCTCTTTAGACTTCTGCAGCTACCAGGCACAGATGTGGGGCAGATACACACATGCAGGCAAAACACTTAAGCACATGAAAGTTAAATACCTCTAAGAAAGTTCTTAAAAGAAATTACCGTTGACTTTTTAATAGTTTCAGACTTTAAGATCTGCATTTTAGCATAATGTTCAAGCAAAAGAAGACATCCTTACATAGTACATCAGGTGCCAGGGAGTGCCACTTCTTCCTTCTCCTCCTAAGAATGGCATCACGGCTGCTTGGCCATCATTCCAAGAGTTCCCTGACCTGTAGACAGTGCAAAGACTCTTCCAAACTTCCTACCAGACCCAATATTTAAATATATCATTCACAGCTTAATAAGTCAGCACTAAGGTATAAAAGAGAGTTCATAACCCTCTGTTATCATTATACAGTGTAATGGTTTTTAAGTGCTAAGTTTATCTGGGGTTCCCTGAAAGTTGAACATATTACAAAATAGCTTATTTTGCAGATAATAATAAATCCTGAATATTGAGACACCATGTTCTTACAGTCATTGCTGTAGTTCAAGTTGAAAGGTTTTCATCGGGCTGGTGAGAGTTAATTACTGAGGTTTGATTTTAACTGAGTTATGGCATGTTCCTCCCTGTCATCAGGGTGTGCAACTCTCTGAACCTTTAGGTTAGGAATTCCTCCCTGTATTCGTGATTTCCTGAATGTTTCTGCTTATAGTTGGTGAAGTTGAACATTATAAATTATTCACTAGAGACTACAACTTGCTCATGGCATTGCGACTGGATAAACATCTGACTAGTTCTCAGAACTCATCCAAAGCCCTCAACTCCCTTCTTCCTACATTTCATCAGCTGCATTCCCTCATTGCCTCCTTCCTAATGCTTGTGGTACTCACGACTGAATTATGTCCTGCTGTGGTCTTGACACTTTCAGATCTTTCTACAGTTGGCAGAATCGTCTTTCTCAAGTAGATAGTGAATTTGTTCTCCAGTATAAAGTGCTTTTGGAAGCTCCATTAAAACATATGCAGGACCCAGGCTAACCAAGGCCTGCCCCATATCTGCTCCTTGTATCTCTGACAAAAAAAAATTATTTTCTAAACTCTTATCAAACTACGATGCTCAGTCTAGATTGTTTGTGCTTTTTATTTTCTATTTATTTACTATTTCCTATGTTACCATTCCTTAACATCTGTTCAAAAAGTCCCCTCCAGAAGCCTGTCTACATTCTTAGTGTAGACAACTCCATTATCATTCCAGTGCAACAATGATGCATAGATAAGAGGTTTTGTTTTTCATAAACTCGAGCAATAGAGGGAAGGATGGGGAACACTAAAATGTCCAAACATTTGTACTTAGCATTTGGATTATGGAATCAGACATTTGAGTACCTGCTAGTATAAGACTTTGGACAAATACATTTTCCATAGCTGAATTTTCTCACTTACAACCTCACAGTGGTTTTTACACATTTGCTATTCTGTGAATACCATGCTATTGGAGAGACAAGCATGTAAAATGAAAAGCAGAGTGATAAACATTTAGTGTGAGGATATGTACTATAGTTATAATAATATAATAATATATTACAATAAAATAATCTTAACACCATGTAAAGTGATTTTTCAAAATGATCTTTAAGCCTCACAAAAATACTCTGAAGTATATGCTGTCCACATTTTTCAGAGGACTTGTCCATACTATCTATCAACCACCTGATGTAGGTGATGGGAACCAAACTTGCAATCACTGGAGGAACAGCAAGTGCTCTTAACAGCCTATGTCCCTAAAATCTTAAGGCTTTTATAAAAAGAAGGCAAGAAAGTTGGGAAGTCAATATGTAAAATTCAAAAAGCATTTTAATATTTCCACCCAATGTTATCATCTTATTATAATGAACTTGTTTGAACTCATCTATAAACAACTTCTCAATAGCTGTTTTTCTGACTGTAAACGTAGTACCTTTTACTTGTAGAATTTTGGAAAAATACAGGTAGTACCAAGAGTATAATAAATTACACATGTCTTTTTATAAAGGAGAACCATTGACGTAAATACTTATTCCACACAGCCCTAAGATCAGTACCCTACACCTCATCTCCATTAGTTTCTATCCAGCCCTAAGATCAGCACCCTACAACTCAACTCCATCAGCTTCCATCCATCCCTGAGGTCAGCACCCTACACCTTCAGGAGACAAAGAATGGTGGGGTGGACAACTATAATACAGGAAGTAATTTGGAAACACTGTTTTTTCATGAAGTGTTCGATGCACAGCCCACACTTTGTGGCTGACTGTCTCAGAGCAGCCTCACACCATACTCAATTTCTTTCTTTAATTTTGCTACTCTAGGAAATGAAAACACATCTGAATTGACCATTTTGCATAGGAGCTAGTACAGTTGAACAGCATTCTTTGTTTCTAACTAATTTCTACTTCTTCAAATTCTTTGACCACTTCCCCAACTTGTATTATCTTTTCTTTTATTTCTATCAATCTTTTGTGCTTTAGGCATATCAGTCTCAGTAACAGGCAGAAAATATCACTTCATTGCATCAGAAACATCACACTTTATTTTTGATTATTGTTGTTGCTTTTAACTTGGGGGAAAACCCAGAGTATTTGTTAATACTTGCATGTCTTTGCTTTTTCTGTCCTTACCAACTTCTTGATGTCCTCTGAAGTCGTCACTCAGTCTGTCTCCTTGACCACCTGACTAATTTCTCTCTCCCCTCCCAAGTTCTTAGCAAATCCTGGATTTCTCATCTGTCTTCAGCTAGATGCACTCTCCCCATTTCCCTTCAGGTACTGGCTCCTCCTCCTCCTCCAGAGCTCAGCACAAACCTCACCTGCTCATTTCTTCCATAGTAGATCTCATTATCTCTAATATCCTGAAATGTCACTTATGTTCTTGCATGATATCTATCTATATCCCCTACCAAGAAATCAGTGTAAGGCAAAGATTTTGTCTCATATTTCATTTGAGTCCCAGTCCCTAAGAGGGTACTTGGCACACAATAGACACATGATAAATATTTGTTGAAAAATAAATTAAATAATTACAAAAACATTCTTGGTTTTAGTTTATTAATTATGTATGAGCTATATTTTATTTTCAATTGTTAAAGAAACCCAGAATTCGATAGAAGTATTAGGTAATACTGAAATGCAAATTAAGTAAAATGAAAATCATTCATTATCCCACTTTCATGTAGCAATAATCATTTTGTCACTTTGGAGCCTGTGTGCATGCTTTCATTAATAAGGATATGATTTTATGATATATGCTTTATAGCTATTTTATTAGTTTAGTGTGTCACAGACATGTTTCCAAATATTTTATTAATTTCAATGTCATTCCATTAAACTTCTCTGTGACTGGAAATGTCACCGAAGTCTTTATTTTGTAAAAGGTGTAATTATATAAACTTCTCATAACACTAAGCATTTTCCAACATCTCAGAACAGACTGAGAAGAAATGAAATTACTTGTCTAAAATGTGTTTCTTAATATCATAAGATCCTGCTTAATTTTTTAGAAGCACTGAGGTATAAGAAAATTTGCTCACATACATTCTCAAATATTGCATATTCTAGAAAACTTTATCTAACCAATTTGGTGAGAATGCATGTGTTATGGTTTGACTGCTTTAATGTTTTCCACTGCCTCATTTTTTGAATACTGGTACCATGAAGCGATTTATGATGTCTTATGAAGCTTGAGGAGTCTTGGGGTGGTATGCCAGGTAGCAGTACTAGGTCACTAGGAAGCAGTCTTGAAGATGGTATCCACTACTCCTTCTTGCCCCATGCTGTCTGATGCCTGACCCACCAAGTGTGAACAATTAGGTCCTGTTACTGTGAAATGAGCATTTCTAGGTGTTGCGGGTTTCCCACCTTGATGGACTGAAATCTTTGGAACTGGGAGC